AAGAAAATACAAAAACATTTTTGTTGGTCCAATATTAGTAAAGATATTAAAGAATATGTTACAAATTGTTTACTTTATCAAGTAATGCGTAATCGGAAATTTAAATCTAATGATAAGCAAGTTTTTATCAAAAATGAATGTATTTGATATGGTTTCATTAGATATTATAGGTCTTGAAACATGGAAAGGTACAGAATACTATATACAAGTAGCAATAAATCATCATTCACGTTTTATGGTGATGAACATAACTAATAAAACACCTAATGCTATGGATGCAATTAACATTATAAAGAAAACATGGATACCCATATTTGGATGCCCTGCAAGCATCTTAACAGATCGCGGTTCAATTTATACTAGTCAAGAATTTCATGACTATTTTACAAAAGAAATACAGGTTAAATTGTATCATACCAGCACATATTATCCACAAGGACACTGTATAAATTAAAGCTCTCATAAAAGCTTGATTATATCATTAAGACTTTATATGAAGAAAAAGATATAACTTTTGAAGAAATAGTACAAAATGCAGTACTAATATATAATAATACACGTCATGGAGATATAGGAGAAACACCCTATTTTGCTATGTTTGGGATAAATTGTATCTGTCCAGGGTTTACATAATTAGTACGAGAAACAACTTCTGAAATGAGGATTATATACTTAAACGATAAATGGAAAAACATACATGAAGATGTAATGAAATCAAAAGAAAACCTATAATTGAGAATAAAAATATTAAAGTTGGAGATATTATCTCATACGAATTATCCGAATACAAAAGGAATCAAATGAAACACTATAGCAGAAATATACAAAATAAACCATATTGTTCATTTCCTCATAGAGTAACTAAAATTGAAAGAATAATTCTGAAAGTATTACCTATATATTATAGAGGTAAAGAAGTACAAATTCCAATGTCAAAAATAAAATTGTTGAGTAACAAAACCAGGGAGATATATGAAAGGAAACTGCACAATTTAATACAAGTTACAAATAAGAATAAACGGAAATCAAATCTGTTAATATAATAAATAATATAGCGTAAATATAAAGAATTTAAAAATATTAACTAAAAAATTTTTTTTTTTTGAAATTAAAAATAATAATAAGATATATATTTTTTATAAAGCTTGCTTTTTTAGTGAAATAACGAAATTATTTCTGTAATAGAAAAAATTGTGTGAAGTTTCTAAATAAATGATAAAAATAAACTACAATTATAGAAAATTAATTTATTTAATTCTAATGCATGAATTTAAAAATAATTATGTTTATTCTGAATGAATTAAAGATTCAAAGATATAAAAAAAATTTTTAAAAAAAAAATTAAAATTTTTTTTTTTTAAATGATAATAAAGGTATAAATAAGTGTAATGATAAACATATTATATTGGCGAATATCTTCATTATCGAATATTACAATTGTTTAATGTTATTTATATTAATAAATTATGTAATTTAATTTGTGTCACTTCTAAAAGTAACTTTGGCATAATGATCATTTATATCGCAAGATACATAAATTGATTTAATATTAATGCAGGATGTTTATAAATAATATGTAATTAAGATAATGGATATATTTACTCAATTATTACAATTTTACTATTAAGATTGATATATTGGCATAAAAGTATTAACAAAGCTACACTATATATTGATGAAAAATAAAAATTAAACTATTAAATGATATTATTAAATATATATGTAATCATTTTTATAAATATAAATGGAATATAAACATAAAAATTACAATAAGAAAAATANACCAGGGAGATATATGAAAGGAAACTGCACAATTTAATACAAGTTACAAATAAGAATAAACGGAAATCAAATCTGACGCATGATTTAAAGTCTAAGGATTACCTACATATTCATAAACTAGTAGCATTATAACGTATGATATCAACGATAATCAGGACAAGCAAATTGAAAATTTAGTACAAAAAGGACTTGATGTAATAAGACAAGCCAAATATAACAAATTTTAAGTAACAACAATTACTTTCCCATGGTGGTGGAGTATAGTTAACAAAAGTCTTTATTAACCTTTTTGGAAAATAAAAAGACTAGTTAAATGAAGAATACGAAGTTCGTTATACATACACACACAAAAAAAAAATTGATGATTTTTTTTTTGTCTGTATTTTTTTTTAAAAAAAAAGTAAAAAGACTGTCAGGAAAAATTTTGATAATAAAAAAAAATGCAAAGATCGTCAGGAAAAAAAATTAACTAAAAAATCAATTAGAAAAATATTTGTTACCATAAAATAAATATAAAAAAAGAAAAAAAGAAAAAAAAAGATTTTTTCTTTTTAGAATGAATTATGATTTTAATGAATTTTGTAAGAGAAAGTTTTATACATATAACAATAAAATTTTCATGTAATTAATATTTGTATAATTTTTGATATTTGTAAATAATTGTTTATGTTTGTTAATTCAACAGCAATATATATTAATTGCTGAATGTAACTCATAATAAATAAACTAGTAATTTACAATTCATTAATAATTAATGTTCAATAAGGATTTAAATTATTAATAAGAATAAAGATTTTTATTAAAGTAAATAAATGCCTATTGAAATTAAAGAATGATGAATGAAGTATATTATGTAAATAAGGATCACTCATTCAAAGCATATAAAATATATACAAATACATCAAAACCGTAGAGGCAACTCTATATGCTCTTTATTAATTCGTTTGTTCAGTACTCTAATAAAGTTACCGGATACCCAGTTAATAAAACATGCACAAATGTATAATAAATAAAAATAAAATTGGTTCCTTTAAAATAAATAATCTTAAAAATAAGCACTAAATATATAACGATAACCAGAATTTAATTAATCCATAGTCAACAAATAAAGTTACAAAAAATTTAAACCAACAAACTTCTAATAACTTAAAACTTAATAAATTTTTACTCAAAAAACATAATCTTCACCCTTTTCCTCACAACTTACATATTCCAAATTAATTTTCTAAAATTCAACAATAAAATTTTTATAAAATTTATACCATGCCATAATATTCAAATAATTAATTTATCTGTTATCTTCTCTTTTTTTTTAATATACTTATTCATTCTTAATCATAATGTCAACTTAATAATATAAATGAATAAAAATAAAAAAAATTATAAAAAGTGGTAAATAATTATTAAATTTTTAATAATGAAAAACTATAAATATAATCATAAACATTCATAAAAAAATAGGTTTCACCTATAATATTCCTGCGAAAAAAATAATCAACTCCCATAAAAATCATGTAAAATGTTAAAAAAAAATAAAACACATTTACTTTGATCACAGACTTTCTCAGTAAATCATTCATTGTAATTTATATTATAAAAATATAAATATAAAAAAAAAAAAAAAAATTTAACAAAATGATAATTTTATTTTTTTTTTTTTTATTGTTTTTTATCCAGAAAAATCAAGTTTCATAAATTCATCTCACATTTTTCATTCATTTTTTTTTTCAATGTAATGATATCTTGTTTCTAAGAAATTATTGTTAATAAACTATTGTTATTTTTATTTTCAAAAAACATTATAAGAAATAATTTTAAAAAAAATAATCAAAAAAGAATTTAAATTTTCTTGTATTCATAGTAAAAAATTCTAAAATAATGAAATAATATCTCAAAGAATGTCAAGTACATATACATATATTACGAAATAAAAATCGCTTAATAAAAAAACAAAAAGATTAATATAGTTATAATGAAAAAATAAGTGCATTACTTATTAAGTTCAATTTTAGCTTTTTTTTTTTTATATATATATATTTCTTCAAAAATATAACTAAATTGTAATGCACTAATTTGTCACCAAAAATTTAAATATTAAAGTAAAAAAAAATTGGAATAACTTTAATCTTCGTTTAAAGTTTAATAATTTAACAACAAACAATATAGATTTTTATAATTGTAAGTCATTTTTCTATTAAACTTAAAATATTTTTTTTATGAAAATATATATGAAAAATTAAAATATTATATTATAACTACTACTTATAGAATTTACGTGTATATATATATATGTTTTTTTTTTTTTACATATTTTATATTTTATAAAAATATTATTTAGATCCTTTATAATAATAATTATAAGTTATTAAGTACATTCTATTATATGTATATAAACTATATTTTACTTCTTTAATTATATAAATTTACTATTCAAAAAAAAAATGCTGTAAAAATATTATAGAATAATTAAATTCTTTATTCAAAATACAAAAATTTAATAATCATATCATTATTTCAAAATTACATTCATAATCATATGATTATATAAAAAATTTAAGAAAACACAGAAAAAACACTCAAAATAATTTCTTTTTTTTATACTAATTTTTTTTTTTAATTATAATTTCATAACATATAATGATGTTTTACTATATCAATTATTTTATTTTTTTTTTTCTTAATTTTAATTTTATAAATTAAACTTTTGTTTTATTAATTATATTTTTTCTTGTTATTTGAAAACTAATAACATTATTGTTACATGAAATTAAAAATTTAATATTCAAAACAAAAAGCTAACAAAAAATTACCTATATTCTAAATTAATATCTTATACCATATAAAATGCCAATTTCAAATATAAACAAATTTATAATATAGTTATCACATAATTACGAATATTGTCATTTCTATGTAGAAATTATAACAATTTCGCAATGTAATTCAAGTGTATAATGATGCTAAAAAATAACAAAAATATCTATATTCAATTTTTTTGTCAAATTAAATTATTTTTCTTCCTTAATTGGATTAACGAATATTTTTTTAACATTTCATAAATTTAAAGTATAAAATACATACATACACATTACTTTTTGATTATCTTCAAATTTATAAATTTATCTATAATTCACATAAAAATTTCTTTTCTTTAATAAATCAATTTTTGTATACTATTGCAAAATATTTTGAGAAAACCTTGTGATGATATCATAATCATGAGAAAAAGATCAATTTTAAGGAAAGCAAGATTTTTATCGCAAAAAGAACTTTCCTGTATATTAGATAAACAAAATGAGGAGACAAAAGAACATGAAAGTATTTCCCTTAATAAAACAAGCGAACTTAATACAGAAATTGAAACACTTATGAACGATACTTACATTGAACTTAATTTTTATCTGAATGACAATGAAATTAAGGATACTACAGAAAAATGTAAAAAGTCATCCTCATATATAAATTGGAGAGGAATGGACTTTGTTAATTTAGTATTAAATGAAGAAAAAAGTTATAATATTTCAAGTCTTGTTGATTGTTGGAATAAAAAACAAAGTTCTTTCGAGACGCAAATACATAATAAAACAACTTCATCATGTACTTTGAAAAATTTTGATTATTGTGCTGTTTTGAATAAAAATGATGATTGCACCAATCCTTATAAAGATAGTGATATACCTGGGTTAATATCATTACCATATGGCCAACTCAATGAGGATGATCAAGAACAAAATAAAAAAGATATTATTTATAAAAGACTTACTAGGTTTACTGATATTACTAGTGATATATCTAATTACTATTATAAAGTATATGAACGTGATGAAAGTCAACTTAATTGTGGAAAGTGGAGTATGTATATATATAAGAGAGGAAGACAATTTGTTAACATGAACTACTATGAGTTTTACTTGGATGAATCTTTTAGAAAAGATTCTACTAATATTTGGAATGCTTATAGCACTAATAAGCAAAAGAGTATATTAAATGACACAGGTAATCGATGTAATATGACATCACTAATTTATGAAATTAAAAAGAGAGAGAATACAACTGAACGATATGATTTATCTTGGATTCGTTCAGATGATCATGATGAATCTGATGAAACTTTATATCCTACAACTTCATTACCAACTATTACACAACCTACAGTTGAAACGTCAGATACACCACATGTTAGTATTGGTGTACACTCATTAGATGATGATGCAAAAGCTATTATTGGCGGTTATAATGATTCTATAAATCATCCCATAAATGCTATAGCATCACCGGGTGATAAAGATAAATGTGAAATGGCTGAAAAAGCTGCAACTACTGTTCCTCTAGGAGGTCCACCAAAACCCAATTCTTTAACTTCAAATAATTCGAATGGATATAACTCGTCTAAAGCTGAGCCTGCAATTTTACCTTGTTCTACAGGTGATAACTCTATGCCTCGTACTACTATCGTTGAATCTTCTGAAAGTAATACTACGCCTTCGAAAACTATACCTTCTCCTGAAATTACATCATCTCTTACAACCATTTTTTCTGCAGATAACAATTCATCTTCCTTAGGAATTTCTGCATCCCCTATCACTGAATTTAGTAATTTTACAGCTAATGTTGGTGCTTCTCCATTGAATTGTACACATTCTACAAATAGCCATGCATCTCATAGTAATATAACTGAATCTACTACAACAAATAATTGTACACAATTATTTAAAGGATGCTGTCCCCAAACACAAAGTTCACAAAATACACTTACTCATGCTGTACAACCTAAAAATTTACCAGTCATTCAAAATGAAACATTAGCGAATAGAGTGAATGTAAGTCCAAGTATGAATGTTTTAAGTAATTCTACCATACCAACCCCACTGGATAATGATACTGAAGCTACACCTACTGTTAAAACCACAGGAAATGTACTAATAACAATCGTTCCAATAGGTGTATTCATTTTAGGAATTGTTCTCCTTTTAATTATTATATATAGAGTAAGATAAAATTATTAATTAAAAACCCAAAAACATATATATATAAAATATAATAACTATATTGGTAAAATTTTCATAATTTTCTTATTTTTAATTCTAATTATAGTGCACTCCTATTGGATCTTGGATTCGTAATCGAAAATCAAAGAAAAAAAAAATAAGAAAAAAGATAAAAAAATTTTCAAAGAAACCAATACCATTATCTACAAATAACGTAGAGGATGGACCAATGAATAGTAGAAATCACTCTTCATTACAACCTGAAAAACAAAAATCACCATGTGAGGTTAGTTTTGAAAGTGAAAAAAATTCGAAACATGAGCAGAGGGAAAAATCCAAAGAACGTAAAGGAATATACAATAAAAAAGGAAATATACGCATTTCTGATGATACAGAAGAAGGGTCAAATAAAAATGAAAATGAACTTATAAGTGAAGAAAAATTATATAAAGATAATCCTAAAAGTGAAATTGAAAAAATGGAATTGAATGTAGATGAATCCAGAAATGAAATTAAATACGAATTAAATAAGAATATATTAGAAGAAAATCCTGTTCATGCTGTAGGGTATATTAGGAATGATACATTAAATGAGGAAATAGAAAATGAAATAAATTTTCAAAAACAAAAACCTACATGTGATACTGAAATGAAAAATTTAATAAATAAAATGTCAATCAAGAATGATGTATGTAATTGGAATTCATGGGTAGATATACATATGACTGCATTACTAGAGTGTAAAAAACAGGAATGGAAATTTAATAAAACCGAATTTTTTAATATTTCTTTAAAAGAAATCGAAAAAGATGGAGAAAATTCTAATTTAAAAGAAATGGGAAATAATTTTGTAATGAAAATAAATGAAGAAAATAATACTGATGTAACAGATAAATATAGTAGTATATTAGATAAATATAAAAATGAAGAGTGGTTTGTTAATTTGAAGAAAGAATGGGAACAAGAACAAAAAAAATACTTAGGATATTTAGATGAACAAGAAATTGAAAAAATAACAGAAATGGGAATAAATAATTTTATGCTAGATAAAAAAAAAAATATATGGAAGAAATGGATAGAATGGCAAATAGAACATTCATACGAATACAAAAATCAGAATTGGTTTGCACAATTGCTAGAAGAATATGAAAAAGAAGAAATTCATGAAAATTTAAACGAAGAAAAAATAAAGAGAGAAGGAAATAATGGAACAGATAAAAATGAAATGAAGAAAAATTTGGAAAGGAGAATTTTGTTAGATATTCATATGATGGTATTAGAGGAATGTACGAAAGAAGAGTGGGAAAAAGAAGAAGAATTTTTTAAAACAAACATTGAAGTGATAAAAAATTATAAAAATTTGGACGAAGAAACAAACATATTAGATAATATAGAAGGAGAAAGAAGTTGGAATATTATATCAGAGAAAAAAAAAGAGGAAAGAGAAAAATGGAAAAAAGAAAAATGGTTTATTCAGTTAATGTTAGAATGGAAAAATAAAGAAGAAAAATATATGATGGAGATAAATGAAGAAATTTTAGCAAAAAAGAATCAAGGAAGAGTAATAGATGTTGTCTTAGAAGGAAAAAGCAATATATGGAAAAAACACTGCGAATATATCTGTAAAAAGTGGATAGAAGATGACAACAATGAAGAATGGTTTACAAAGTTAGTTGATGAATATGAAAATGAAGAGAATGAACATAAAAGTAGAATTTATAAAAAAAGTATAGAAAAAAAAAAAGAAAATGTAAAAACCATAGAAAGTTGTGAACCACTAACAGAGTTTAACAAAAAGGGAGAAGAAAAAATGAGAAAATATGAAAGGAATAATTTAGAGGAATCATATGAAATGAATAATTCTAAAATAAACAAAAAAAAATTAAAATGGGAGACTTTAATAGGAATATATATGGTAATATTAGAAGAATGTAGAAAAGAGGAGTGGTTATTGAATAGAGGAAAATTTTTAGAAACCTGTTTAGAAGAATTTATAGAAGAAGATAAAGAAAAATATCCGAAAATAATAGAAAATGATTTAGCAATGATGAAGGAAGAGGAAGAAGACATTAGTACATTAATGGTTGAGAAACAAAAACTTTTATGGAAAAAATGGGTAGAAAGAAACAGAAGAATGTCAGAGAAATGGAAAAAAGAAGAATGGTTTATTAATCTGAAAAAAGAATGGAGAAAAGAACAAGAAAAATATGATGAATTAACAAATGAACCAGAAATAGTAGAAATAGAAGCAAGAAAAAATCCTATGCTAGAGAAACAAAAAATAATATGGAAACAGTGGCTAAAAAAACAAAGAATGTGGTTTATACTACATAGCGAGGATGATTGGTTTAACAATTTATTAGACGAATACGAAAAAGAAGAAGAACGTGAGGAAGGAATAACTAAAAAAGATGCGAAAGAAGAGAAGGAAATTCATGAAAATATAGAGGAAATGAAACAAGAAGCAGATGAAGAAATAGAGAAAAATAGACAAAAAAGGGAGACATTGATACAAAAAGTTTTGATAGAAATACATATGACGCTATTAGAAGAATGTATGAAAGAAGAATTGCAAAAAGAAAAAGCATATTTTTTTAAAAAAATGGTGGAAGAATTGAGAATACAAGAAAATTTAGATGAGGATGTTAAAATATTGGAATTAAAAAAAAAAAGTAGTAATGTTATATTAAATAATGATAAAGAGAAAATAGAGGAATGGAAAAAAAAAAAATGGTTTATTGAGTTAATATTGGAAATTAAAAGAAAAGAAAAGGAATACATAAAAGAAGTATATGAAGATATTATAGCAAAAAAGAATGAGGACAAAATTAGAAATCCCATGTTAGAAAGGCAAAAAATTATATGGAAAAAACACTGTGAAGATATTCATAAGAGGTGGATAGAAAAAAATAATAAAGGATGTTTTCAACACTAATTTATTAATAAAAGAATGAAGATAACGAATAAAACAGCAAAATTTATAGGGTATAGGAAGTAAAAATAAACATGAAGAAACTGGAAAAATTCGTAAAACAATAGAAAAAATTTTAGAAGTTATAAATAGAATTATTGTTCTTTTTGAATATTTTTTAAGAAATAATCTTAAACATTGCTATATACTTAGTTATTGATTTATTAATTTCTCATTTCATAATTTTGTTAGAATATTGATTTATTAATTGCTGGTATAATCAATTTGCTTATGATGAACAAATAAATTAAATAAAGAAAGTTTAGAGATAATTATAGTTATTTTATTTAGAATAAAATAAATCATTAGATAAATCATTTATTTTTATTAACTAATATTAAATTTTAACTCTATTATTTATTTGTTTAATTTATACAATACAAATATAATGTTTAACATTATGTTATTTAATTTTTCATGAAAAAAGAATAATATCCATTGCATCATCAAAAAAAAAAAAAAATTATTATTTTTTTTTTTAAAATGATACTATTTTTTTCTATTAAAAAATGAAAAAAAAAATAAAATTATTAGAATTAATTTTTTGCTAAAATTTCCCAAGTCTCCAGAATATAAAACCAAAAAAAAAATAAAATATTTTTTTTTATAATTTTAAATTGATATAATAAAAAAAAATAAATGAAATATATTTGTTTTTTTTTTTTTTTTTTTTTTTTTTTTTTAATAGCATTTTTATTTTCTTTTCAGTGGTATTATGAATTACTAATTTGTTAAATAATAACTTTTATAGTGCTTTAAATAGTTAAATTAATATAGAGCTTGTAAAATGATATCTACTTAATCTTTTTAATATAAAATTAACCTATGTATATAATTATATACCTATTATACAAGTATCAATTCATAATTATCTTAATATATTTATTATAAAATTCACGCTATTTAGCATACGTCTTAGTATTTTTTTATATAAGATATAAAAATTTTCATATTTATTCATCTCCTAAAAAAAAAATAAATAAAAATAAAACATTCTTTTTTTTTAAATATAAAAATGCATATATAATTTTTTTTTTTATGAGAAAATTACTAATATAACATATATTATGCAAATATAATTCTACTACATCTATGAAGGTATCCTTAAACATAATATATTTTGTATTTTATTTCTATACACGCAAAAATTATTATAAGTGTTCTCATATATATATCTTTTTATATACTTTTTAATTATCCTGCATGTAAATACATTGATCCAAAATGAACTTATATCATTTTGTAAATTATTAAGAAGTTAAATGGGGTCTTTTAGTAATCATATTTCTAGTATTGAGCAAAAAAAATTAATAAAAAAAATGTAGAGAAAACTATACTTGTTTTATTTCTGTTAAAATAAATTATCATACAAATTATTTAGTTTTTCTAATTGTCAAATATGAATCACAATTGTTACTGAGTTAGTTTACACAACACTATATAAAATATAATATTAACATAATATTTTTAATTCTTACACATAAAAAATTATACTTCACATCATCAACAAAAAAAATATATGATTATTCTTAAGATTACAGCTTTTTTTTTTTTTAAATTTCTTTTTCAAGTCAGTTATTTATTAATTAACCATTCAGTGTTATTGCTAGTATCTAACAAACAAATTAATAAAGATCATATAAAGAGAATTTTACATATTTTTATTTTTTTAAATTAGGATATAAATTAAATCATTCATTTTTTATTAATTAATATAAAACATTAATTATGTTAGTTAATTAATATTGTTATTAATTTACATGACATCCCATGCGTACCACATTTTACATTGCATTTTTAATCTTTCTTTAAAAAAACCAAACCCTCTCCATCTTTGTCCTTAAAAGATAAAAAAATATTTTTTTTTAAGATGTCATATTTTTTTTAAAAAAATAATAAAAAAAAAATATATTTTCTTATGTAATTGTAAGTACACAAAAAAAATATTATAGAAATATGTTTATTTTTTTTTTTTTAGCGTATTTTTAGTGCAAATATATATATATATTTTTTTTTAATATACACATTTTTAAGTTCACATTTTGCACATATTTTATAATGCTCTAAATGAAATGTTTTTACTCATTTTATTTTATTAAATATTATTTAAAACAGTTTGATAATATAATTTATAGATTGCATGCTCTTTATTAATTTGTTTGTTCAGCACTCTAGTAAAGTTACCGAACATCCAATTAATAAATCAAATATCGACTATTAATTAAATGTGAATTACTTTTTTCCTTGTTATGAGTTATGTTCATCAATTTAAATATATTGCTGTTGAATTAACCAACATAAACAATTAGTAAAAATTCAAATAAATTATGTGAATATTAATTACGCAAATATTTTATTGTCATATGTATAAAATTTTCTCTCACAAATTCAAAATATAAATATTATGCAAATTAAGCTCTTTTATGAAAACGTTATTATCTTTTTAAAATCTCCTTTTTATTAGTACTAATTCTTACTCTCGATTTTTATTTTACCAATTTTCTCTTTTCCTCTCTGAATATATCATTTAAAAAAAATAATAAATATCTTTTTTTTTTTTAGTTAGCAAAACCAACTACGTATTCTTCACATAGATAGTCCTTTTTATAACCAAAAAGTTTAATGAAACAATATTAAAAAAAAAAAAAAAAAAAAAATAATAAATGAAAAAAAAATAATAAAAGAAGAAAAATGTAACAATACAAATAGATATATATTTTTTTTTAATTTTTAGTATGAAGAAAAAAAAAAAAATTAAAATTATTAAAACAAATACAAATATATATATATATATATATATATATATTTTAAATTAATAAAACATAAAAAAAAAAAAAGAAAATAAAATAAAAAATCTTAATTTCTAATTTAATGTAAAACGTATTTTAGTACTATATTGTAAATTTAATAATTTCTTATGGTTCTTTTCTATTAAATATTTTTTTTTTATTTATGTTTAATAAATTATATATTTTATATTTTTTTTTTTTTAATTTTTCTTTTTTTTTTTTTTTTTTTTTTTTAAACTTTAAATAAATGAATGCACAAAAAAGAAAAGAGGTAAAATGATATCCATTAATGAATTACTATATTAATAAATTCCCCCTTTCAAAATTATAAGAAAAATTAATGTAAGGAATTGCATAAAAACTAACATAAAATAGTTACACTTTTTAGTAAAATCATATGTGTAAACGAATTAAACAATTTAAAAGCCTAATATTTTAAAAAAATATTACCGTTAAAAATTTATTTCTTTAGAATCATTAATAATATTAATTTATTTTGAAATTTTCTTTATATAATAATTTCACTATATAAATATTAATTATGATAAATTATTCATTAAAAAAATATTATATATAAGAAAAAAGTTAATTTTAAACTTTAGATAGTAATTCTTTTGGGTAACTCTTTGTTTAGCATTTCAATTAAAATTAATATATTAAAAAAGTTAAATAGGAAACATTATTAAACATTTGTAGACGGATTATAAGTATATGTAATACTTTTATTGTATGAATGATAGACATATAAATTATTTTATTTAGAATAAAATAAATCATTGCATAAATCATTTATGTTTATTAACTAATATTAAATTTTATCTCTATTATTAATTGTTTTAGCCAATCTATACAATATAAATGTAATATCTAACGATATGTTATTTAATCTTTCATGAAAAAAAGAGTAATACCCATCGCATCACCAAAAAAAAAGAAATTATTATTGTTTTTAAAATGAAATTATTTTTTTTCTTTAAAAAAAAAAATAAAAAATAAAATCTTTGCCATTTATTTTTTTTTAAAATTTCATAGGTTGTCTGAGTAGTAAAATCCAAAAAGAAATAAAATTTTTTTTTTTTTATTTTTTTTTTAATTTTATGTTCAATTTTATTATTACCTATTAATACTCTTTTTAAATACTTTCATAGTGCTTTAAATAGTCAATAGGTAGTATGTATAATGATTTTTACTTATTCTTTTTATTATTAAATTAACATATATAGATATTTATATACATATTATACATGCATCAATTCATAATAATGTTAATATATTTGTTATAAAATTTATTCTTTTTAAGACTTCTTTGTAATTTTTCTTATAGAACCATAAAAATTATCATATTTATTTATCTCCCAAAAAAAAGAAAAAAAAAAAATTTTTTTTTTTTTTTAAAATAAAAACGCATACGTAATGTTTTTTTATGAATATGCTAACAATACCATTTATTTTATACATAGTTCTTCTAAATTTAAGAAAATATTCTTTTAACCACAAATTATCTTGTATTTTATTTCTCTACATGCAAAAGTTATTATAAGTGTTCTCATATATGTATCTCTTTATATACTTTTTAATTATCCTGCATGTAACTACATTGCTCTAAAATGAATTCTATCATTCTGTAAATGGTTAACAAAGGGCTTTATTAACCTTTTTGGAAAATAAAAAAACTATTTATATGAAGAATACATAGTTCATAATGCACACACAAAAAAAAAAAAAAAAAAATGATCAATTTTTTTGTTTTTGTTTTTATAAAAAAAAAAATAAAGATGGATAGAAAAAAAAAATTCATAAAAAAAAAATCAATTGAAAAAATATTTGTTACCAATAAATAAAAATAAAAAAAAAAATATTTTTTTTTTTTTTGGAAAACAAAGTATTATTTTAATGAATTTTGTAAGAGAAACTTTTACACATATATACCAATAAAATTTTCACGTAATTAATATTCATATAATTAATTTGCACTTTTACTAATTGTTTATGTTTGTTAATTCAACAGCAATACATATAAATTGTTTAACATAACTCATAACAAAGAAGCAAATTATTTACACTTAATTAATAGTCAATATTCAATATTAAATAAGGATTTAAATTTTTAATAAAAATAAAGATTTTTGTTAAAGTAAATAAATACCTATTGAAATTAAAGAATTCTGAACGAAGTAGATCACATAATTAAGAATCACTATGAAATTTTTTTTTTTCTATTAAAAAAAAAATAAAAAATAAAATTATTGCCATTTATTTTTTATTAAAATTTCATAGGTTGTCTGAGTAGTAAAATCCAAAAAGAAATAAAATTTTTTTTTTTTTATTTTTTTTTTAATTTTATGTTCAATTTTATTATTATCTATTAATACTCTTTTTAAATACTTTCATAGTGCTTTAAATAGTCAATAGATAGTATGTATAATGATTTTTACATATTCTTTTTATTAATAAATTAACTTATATAGATATTTATATACATATTATACATAAATCAATTCATAATAATCTTAATATATTTGTTATAAAATTTATTCTTTTTAAGACTTCTTTGTAATTTTTCATATAGAACCATAAAAATTATCATATTTATTTATGTCCCAAAAAAAAATAAAAAAAAAAATTTTTTTTTTTTTAAAAATAAAAATGCATACGTAATGTTTTTTTATGAATATGCTAACAATACCATTTATTTTATACATAGTTCTGCTAAATTTGAGAAAATATTCTTTTAACCACAAATTATCTTGTGTTTTATTTCTCTACATGCAAAAGTTATTATAAGTGTTCTCATACATATATCTCATTATATACTTTTTAATTATCCTGCATGTGACTACATTGCTCTAAAATAAATTCTATCATTCTGTAAATGGTTAATAAAGGGCTTTATTAATCTTTTTGGAAAATAAAAGAACTATTTATATGAAGAATACATAGTTCATAATGCACACACAAAAAAAAAATAAAAAAAAATGATCAATTTTTTTGTTTGTATTTTTATAAAAAAAAAAATAAAGACCGTTAGAAAAAATGAAATTGATAAAAAAAAATCATTGGGAAAAGAATCTGTTACCTATAATAATGAGATAAGAAAAAAAAAAAAAAAAAAGATTTTTTTTTTTTGAAAAACAAAATATGATTTTAATGATTTTTGTTAGAGAAAATTTTACACATATAACAATAAAATTTTCACGTAATTAATATTTATATAATTAATTTGTATTGTTACTAATTGTTTATGTTTGTTAATTCAAAAGCAATATATATTAATTGATGAACATAACTCATAACAAAGAAACAAGTAATATACATTTAATTAATGATCAATATTCAATAAGGATATAAATTTTTAATAAAAATAAAGGTTTTTATTAAAGTAAATAAATACCTATTGAAATTAAAGAATGCTGAACGAAGTAGATCACATAATTAAGAATCACTCGTTCAAAGCATTTAAAAATATATACAAATACATCAAAACCGTAGAGAAAACTCTACATGCTCTTTATTAATTTGTTTGTTCATTGCTCTATAAAAGTAGCCGATCACCCAGTTAATAAACCACCAATACATAAAAATAAAATTTTTATGTTTGCAATATTTATATAATTTAATGTGTCTCATTAATTGCCTATGTTTGCTAACTTGAAAACAGCGGATTTGAGTTCCTAAACGTTATTCATAACATTATAAATCATATATATGAATTAAGTGTTAATGTTCAATTACGGATTAAATTTTTAATAAAAGCAGAGTTTTTTATTAATGTTAATAAATATTTTTTAAAAACATGGAATGTTCAATGAAGTAGACTATATATAAAAGGGTTTAGTAGTTCATAGAATTGAGAAATTATGTTTAAATTCACTAAATTAGTAAACTATAAATGCTCTTTATTAATATTTCTGTTTAATGCTCTAGAAATGTCAATGGGTAGGAAATTGATATATCATTTATATAAGGTTATTTTATAACGAATAAACATAGTAGTTATTATTCTACATGTTTTTTTTTAATTTGATTATTCAATATACTATTAATTTATTTGAAAGGACAATTAATAAATTAATCATCTTTAATAAAAAAGTTTAATTTTTCCTTATTTTTAATTTTTTCATTGTATATACAAGCTATTAAGAAGATATAAATATGTACATGTTGTAAATGAAGTTCAATGTAAAAAATATAACTCCCTTTAGTTCACATCTTTGTATATACATTTTTTTTATATTTTTAGATAGATTTGCTTCTAAAAAAAAAAATTTTATATGTTCCCAAATTTCACTTTTTTGAAGATTCACGTCACAACATTTATCTGATATGTTGATAATTCATTTCATTAACCACTTTATGCACTTTATTTCTTAAGTTTATTTAATTTATGAAAGAAAAAAATTGATTTAAATGGTAGATGTTACTTAAGGTTGTTATTATAATTAAGGAATTATTCTATTTTGTATGAAATTATTACTTATTTAAATTGGAAATATCTATAAAAATTAAAAGAAAAAGTTAAATATGATAAAATTAAAAATTCAACTTCAAAAAATTAAGATAACATAAAAAAGAAATTGAACATTGGATTATAAGTTGTAAATAAGATATTAGAACATATATAGTTACATATGTTATAATTATTTAAATTATTTAAAGATGTAATTATGGTAATTTTATACATATTTCATTTACTCAATTATTACAATTTTACTATTAAGATTGATATATTGGCATAAAAGTATTAACAAAGCTACACTATATATTGATGAAAAATAAAAATAAAAATTAAACTATTAAATGATATTATTAAAAATAAATGTAAACATTTCTATAAATATAAATGGAATATAAACATAAAAATTACAATAAGAAAAATGTTATATAACTTTTTATGTTTAAAATTTTTTTGTATCTTATTTTAATGATTCTTTTAAAATATAAAGTTGAAATGCAAGTAATATATATATATTATATATCCTCTTTTTTGAAAAACTATATTATTTTCTTTCTTTCTTTTTTTTTTTTTTGGTTAATTGAATAGATTTTATGGTATTTATATAATAATATATTATATTTTTTATATATTTAACAGATACGTAAATTATAGAATATGCAAATGGATAATAAATTATCTTTCTGATATAAAAATTGATAAGAATGAAATAAAGTTTCATTTAAATTATAATAGAGACATCTTTGAATTAGGTTAACAAAAAGCAATATTTTGAAAATTATCTACAAGTAAATCTTTCATTTTATCTATACATAGGATTAATTTATAATACATAAAATACATACATTTAAAATACATGACAAATTTTAGAAAGAAAACTAAGGAATATTTCATTTTGGGTTATGTTATTCCACATCTTTAATAGAAGCAGAAATATATAAATATTAAATGATGCTATCTACAATATTTATTTAATATTAAATAAAACAAGTAGAGAATAAAAAGCTAAATAAAATAAAAATGTTAAAATATATAAAAATTAATTTAACAAGCTTCAGTTCTTTTTTCCACTTTGAATTCAACTTACTTTCTTCTTCATTAAGTTTCATATTTTCTTCTCTTTTCCACTTTTCATTTTTTTCCATTATGCTCTTTTCCAACTCTTCCTTTTATCATTTACTTTTCCCACTTTCCTTTTCTTTTTGCATTTCCTTTTCAAACTTTTCAATTACTTTTAGCATTCTCTCTTCCCCCTCTTCCTTATTTTTTAGTATTTTCTTTTCCAACTCCATTTTTTCTATTAGCATTCTATTTTTCCATTTTTCGCCTTCTTCTGTAATTCGCTTTTCCCGCCCTTTTAATACTTTTAGGACACTCTTATCACACACTTCGTTTCCTTTTAGCTTTCTTTCCCACTCTTCCTTATGTCTTAGAACTCCCTTTTCCCTATGTTCCATTTCTTTTTTTTTTTTTAGCAGTTTCTTTTCATTCTTTTCCATTTTTTCTTTTTCTTCTCGCATTTCCTTTTCCAAATCATCTTTCATCTTTTTATTGCAATTATTCAATATCTTTTGCAACCTAACTCTCATTTCATGTTTAGCTTTAAATTTAGGAAAGTAATTTCTCTGTAAATTATTACAAATAATTTAAAATTTTGTTTTTATAATACATATAAAGTTTATAATTATAAACTTTATTTTACCGCAAAACGAAGGAAAGAAATAATAATGATAACTAACTGAAAAATACTTAACGACTTTTTATGAAGAAGATTTTTTGATGTAACTGAATCCAAATTGATATCTTTAGATGGATTTTGAATGGCATCACATGAATTCAAATCATCATGTAATGGATTTTCTGGTATTGAAACAGTTGCATCTTTAATTTCCCTATGAGAGAAACCTGCAGTTGAATCTTCCTCATCTAGTGTCTCACAAGAATCAATATAAATAATATCACTTAGATTAAGATTCATTTTTGGTATCTTTAATAATGTAAAAAAAATTATTGAGAAATTATTTCTAATATTTTTTTTAATGAATTTTAAAATATTTCCCTTTTTTTTCAGTAAGGATAATATAAGTTAAAAACAAAAAATGTGGAAATATAAATTAGAAATTAACAAATAATTTAAAACAATATGATTTTTGAAAAAAAAATTAGTTTTAAAATTTTTTTTTAAATTTTATCACAGAAATGTCTATTAAAAAGTAAATCTATAACTACAACATAAAAATTAAAAATTTAAAATTCTAAATCCGACATCCTAAATCCTAAAATTATTAATTATATACTACAACCTCTTATTTATTATATATTTTTAATTATATTTTTTATAATGGAAATATTGTTTAAACATTAAAAAAATAATAAATTCTTAGTTAATCTTTTATACTTACAAAAAAAAAATTCCTTTTCGTTTTTTTATTTAATTTTTTTATCTAAATTAAAAGAGAATAATATAAAAAATTATTTAGATATGCAAAAAAAAAAAATGTTACATTCTTTTTTTACTTAAAATATTTTTAGAATAGTTTATATTTAGATACAATTATATAGAGCTTTAAAAATTTCTTTTTTTATTTTTATATATTTTTTTTATTTATTTTTCTTTTTTTGAAAATTATTTATTAAAACCATACAATTGCATTTGTACCACTCCCTACATGAAAGTAATTTATTAATAAATAA